ATTTTATCTTTACAAGGATTTTTGACCTTATGTTGCTTCTATTTGTTCCTGTGTGATAATTTAAAAGCAGGTGATTTCCATTTGGTAGACTAATGGCCTCCTTTTCTAAATATTTCCARGGACATTGAAACAGGGGAATTAACGACAGTTTTCAAGAGCAGAGGGAAGGATGGAAAAACCTTACTTTCACATCAAAATACTGTTCTTGCTGAGAAACCACATTCATTGATATAGCAGCATGGAAACTCTGGCTTGGAGGTTAAAGCTGATTTTGTCCACAAAATGGGGCTAGTACTTTCAAACTCAGTGATTATTTAGCTCAGCAGGTCCTGTGGGTTGCTGAACAACATTGCATTTTCAACTAATCTGTTTCAAGCAAAGTTGCAGACTCAGTCTTTAACTGTCACTATGTAATTAATTATTTCCACCTTCTCCATAATGACAAAAACAAAGCAATGGAGACACCTTTAACTAAAGCCACAGAGGGGCTAATGAAATGGGGACTATTATTCTTTCATAAAGAAAAATAAAGCTATTGCTGTCCCTGCAGGAAATTTATTTYCACTAGACAAGCAGACTGTGGAACAAGAGTCGATGTAAAAAAATTGTTAAACTAGCTTATTTTCTGAAAAATGCACTCTAAACAGCACAGTCTACTTTGCACAGTGTCTGAGAAACATAAACTGGATATTTACCACAAATAGCCTGTTGAAAAGGAAAAAAGAACTTCCCAAAGGCTAAAAAGAAGTGTGCGATGACGGTAAAGTTCATTATGACAGAAACTAGAGGTCAAGGGACTTTTCCAGTAGAACCCCTTAGAAAGCAAGAGCAATGAACATGAACTTCTGTGCCGAAGAATAGCAGTACTGATGTGAACAAGCCCTCAGAGACAGCGCACCTCGTTACAGCAGTGTGGTGTGACTTTACTCACAGGGGCTGCCTTTTTACTTTTTAGTTTGTTTAAATGGGAGCAATGGACAATTACATCACKCTCAGTATTGAAGTCGGGAGAAGTGTAAAACTTTTCCTCAAATTCTTTGCATATTTACTTTTTTACAAGAAAGATGTTCGTTCTGAATGGCCTAGATTAGAGCATTAAGTACATGAAATTTGAGCGTATATGAGAAAAAAGCAGAGTAATGGATTTGCCTGGAAATTTTTTCCGCATTGATTGCGGCATTATTACTAATCCTGAATCGACCTAAATGTACAGAACAGAGTAAGTATTAGAGCTGTCCAATAAGATTTGATGAATKCACCATTCCATTAATTTTACCTTTTTGTTGAATAAATTATTTGACAAATAATGGTAAAATTCATCAAATAAATTATCTGATGAATATATTTTTTAAGTAATCGACTAGCTCTAATGAATATGCAGGCAGTTCCTTAATGAAAAGCATTACTCTACTCTTAGCCTGCTTTCATCAATCATATGTCACTTTTTTTGTATTGTGCACCGGCAATCTGTATATATTATTCATTCACCCATTCATTTGTACATGGGAAGTTCAAAACAGTATGGTTAATCAATCACTGTAATTCTTAGAATATTTTTTGCTTTACAGTTGATTATTCATTACATTCCCATAAAGGAAAGCTTAACAAAAAGAGCTGGGCTTTTCTAAGGACACCTCTCCCAAGAACTATTCTTGGCTTTTCCAAGTCAAGTTTACAAGCATACTCTGCAAATTGCAGGGTCCATTTATAAGCCATTTCTGYAGTTGCAAACACTACAATTACCAATTGTTTCAAGAAACTAGAGCCTGAATCCAAGCCAGACACCTTCAAGGACCCTGGAAACACGTATTAGAGGAGTAAAACAAAGAAGAGGATACAGTGGCAATCTCCTCACTGCACAGTGCTGAGGGGTTTGGATAAAAGGCACAGAGAGGATTATTTGGATGGTGTGCAATTTTGGAAATGTTCCAGTGTCAAAGAGCAAGTCTATATTTTGCTATTACAAAGGTGGTCTCAATAAATGCTACCGTTACACTGTTAAACCACAATTTGCACCTGCTAACGTTGAACGTGTCACATTTCCAAGGCCTGGATCCTCGCAGAGCGTACACCAGTTCCACAGTAGCAGTGACAGTGGGGAGAATAGTCAAATGTCTATCAACAATGTAAAGGCACAAATCATGTTATACTTGTYCCCTTTGAACTTACTCCACAAAGCTTAACTAAACAGACTTAATAAGTGAAGGTCCTGGGAGAGCAATGTGTTAAAGGATGCTCTGTGGGTGCACTTGGCATAGCAGGGATCCTCCTCGGAATTATCCTTTCAGTGGCTTGTAGACTTTGGGTTAGTATGTTGCTGATAGTTTTATAGATGTCCAGTTGGGCACCTACCTATCCTGTGGGTGTCCTTCACCRTAGGTATGGGCGAAGGGATTTATCCTGTGTTCATTGAACTCAAAACACTGTTTCCACCAACTTCAGCAGGGCAGAATCGGGCCCATACAGGGCCCATATAGGTGTGTGGCCTCTGTGTGCACAGGCAGGAGGTCSGGGCGGCAGGAAGGAGCTGGTGCTTGCCCAGCATTACACACTCATCAAAACCACAGCTGCACTACCCTGCACACAAATGGTTATTTCCATCCTACACATTTGCTATTACAGAGCGATTATTATTGTGAGAGTGTATTACAAAAGAAAAGCAAATGTTCTAGGGATTKTTTTTTTCATTTTCATACCTTTTATCTCTGGAGCTTATGTTTGTATTTGTCTCAATCAGGCAAGGCTTGCAGTATGTATGAATGTTTGTCCCTTAAAGCCTATGCTAAACTCACTTTTCTATTAAAAAGTTTAAATACTTGTTATAAATAATTTCTCCATACTTGTATGCTTTGATCTAATCTACTGCATAGTTTTAGCTAAAATGGTTGTGGTTCTAAAGATTACAAGTATTAGGAGGAGGAAATAAGTTGTGGAAATTATCTTTAGCTTGCAGCTTGCTTTACAAAGGTTTAAAATGCCTTTTCTTTGCTAACTCAATCTAAAGAGCTTCTGACCCACTCCTTTTCATGTACAGTCACCAATCTAATAATAATAATAATTTTTAGATGGGATCAATAAGACCACTGTTTTACTCCTAAGAATTCTAATAGAACCTTAATATTAATAAGCACACACCCTCAGAAGTAGTGTTACCCCTTAGGCAATCAGCGAACTTAGTTTGTTCTCCTGATAAACACTTGAGCTCCTTGTGCTTCACCATTATTACTGCAGATTTAAAGCCCAAGGATGTGTTTGAAACAGTGTGCTTAGAGGCAGAGAATCCATYGGTACAGAACCTGTTCTCTTAATCATTTACGTGTTGTCTCACAGGCATATTACAATATAGTCTAAACTACAAGCCTACCAGGGCCCCATTCACATAAACTGAAAGCACCATTTGAGTATATGGGCTTTTGTGATGACAATGAGGGGTTTTTTTTTGTTTGTTTGTTTGTTTTGTGCAAGAATCAGTTTTGTGGTGAGCTGCTCTCCAGCGATTTGGTATTCAGACACTCAGAGCTATCTTGGAAAACACTTAAGCTCAATGGTGTTCATATATGAAGCTCAGGATTAAAGGCAAGCTTGAAGTTGCCAGAGTTTATGGTCTAKTATATGAGGGTGGCAGTGCTCGATCATTTGGTAATCCCAAAGCAAAAATGGCATTTCCTTTCCAGAGTGCCTAATCAGGATTTTTTTTTCCTTCAGATAGCTATGTGTAGAGTGGAAATCTTAGAAAGAGGTAGATTTCTGTAATGAAAAGGAATCTTGGAAAGAGGTAGGTTTGTGTAATGAAAAAAAATCTTCCTGATTAACACTGCCTWAGAAAGAGAATAAAGTTTGTTATATTACTCATCTAATACACTAAATAGGAAGGCTGGACAACAGAATTAATGTCTCCAACATGCCTTCTGCAGAGGAGACATTTAGTACCAACTTCATCTCCTAAAATCTCAATAYTTATTTTCACCAAGTTTCTCCACCAGGGAGCCGGTGGAGGTGGCTGCCGGTTGCCTCACTTGAGGTTGGCTAGGCTGAGGTGAGAGGCAGGAGGCTGCCCCATCGACAGYAGGAATTTGGAGTAGAATTGGAACAAAATTAAACCTGATGCTTATTCAACTTTGAAACGGCAAATAGCTAAAATAGCAAGAAAGGGTTATAACGGACTTGGCCAGAGACGTCACGAGGTCTCCCCATCACACCTTCCTCCCCTGCTCGCTCCAGCTATTGCCAGATCACTGTCAACCTCATCACACACAATAATGCCTGTTGCAGTTGGAATGGTTTGTTAAACTTTACAGCACTTAGAAATGCTCTTGAGGCACCAAAAATGTCTTGATTTAGAAAGGAACATATAATACCTGCCAAATTTGCAGGTTTGAAACCACTTCCAATAAGAATTAAAAAGGCCCTCTTCACAGCTAAAATAGGGCTATCAATACTTGACTTGTCTGCCCATGTGAAATAGCGGGTTCTTTTCTCTGACGTCGCAATTTAGTTCAAAATAGCTTTGATGATGACAGGGTACACAAGAATGATAAAACCATAAAGATGACAGTCTAATCTTACAAAGATGACCGATCACTGATAAGAGATTAAGTCACACAACATCTGAAAGACCAGATTATCTGTCTGCTAGGATAGTGTCTGTGTGCACCTCCTGCTGAGCCATGCTGAGATGCCAATGACATACGAAGATGCTACTTCTTAAAAACGAAAAATGCTTCTCAAAAATTTCGCAAACCATGGGGTTAAAAGCAAGCAARCAAGAAAAGAGCTCTGATCTGACAGAGTTTTTTTTGTCAAACCTTCATTTCTCAGGCTAGTGAAGTATTTAGATGTACAGCATATAAATAATTTAGAGACACTATAAAAGGGTCTAAATTAGCCAATTCTGCCCTATAATTAGCGCTCACAGCTATGCTGGCAATGGGTGGGTGATTATTAAACACCTTTTATTATCGGTTTTATGTACTACAATAAAAAAGGAAAATTATACTTACAAGAATTATTAGGCATGCTGGTCCTATAAAACTCCATATAAAGTTATTCTTTGTGCTGAGCCAACATCTGAAAAGTAAACAGCAGAAAATGTCTTGAAATAACGCTAGACTGCTGTGACTACTGCATCCTTATATATACACCCGATTTGAACACAGAAACAGCAACTTACACTTCTGTAGTGCCATAATATTTGTATCCTAATGCAGCAGAAATTCCAACTACCACAGCTGGACTGACATAGCCAAAGACATAGAAATTCTTGTGTAAAAATCCCTTGTTGTAGATGACTCCCACAACTATAAGGTAGAGATGAATGCCTTCGATGMACATCCACGCAAAAGCAGCTAGAAGGAAATAATGGAGTAACCCAGCAGTGATTGAACAGAAGAGCTAGAAAGTCAATCAGAGAAAGCAAGAGTCATAATTCTATTAATATCTCTCTATTAAGATTATAGGGTATGCAAAGCAATCTAGTGATGGTCCAGCAGACCAGACATCAGGCTGCTTGGCACTGTTTGGCCTATATACTTAAGCACCCTTCTTCATTAATGTTTTATGTAGCAACTGGCAAAATAAACAAATTCAGCTTTTAAAATCAGGACACATATTGGTGTCTATCTCCCCAGTTAACCTAAATCTGCTGTCAGTGTTGATCCCCTAGTTATAGCTATAGACTTTGCTGACTTAAAGAAGGCGTGTTTTTATGATTTTTATAGCAATATGAAATGGGAGAGCAAGTAATCATTTCTAAAGGAGCTTTTTTACTATAAAATATTTGTAAAATTACATTCCGTATTTAATCAATACTGGCGTGCTGTCTCAGGGATTGCACCTCATACTTTTTTTTCAAGTAACTTGCAACTCTATTCGGCCATTTAGAGTAGCTTTTTGATAATATATGTATAATTTAATTTCCTAAAACTGATCTGAAACATAACATTGAATTCTGTATTATGTTTCTCCACAGAAGGGGCAGGTTTTTCATAGATATTGATTAATGAAGTTTTCTCACAACAGTTAGAGGTATAACGAGATTACTTTGACCCCTTCMTAGATTTAGTCATATTTGGTGAAGTACACAGAAATGTTAAGCTTTAGCTTAGTGCAAAATCTGAAGAACACCATGTTCCTCCAAAACTAGAATTTCAATTTAGTTAGGCAGAATGTATCTTSGTGGACTATAATTTTTATGACATGCAAGACTTGAGAGTCTTAATTGTGTAAAGAGTGACAGGAGGAGATTAAGACCTCAGACTTAGAACTGAAAGACCTTCCAGTGTAATTCTTGACTTTTTAAGGAAATCATCATCCGTAGAACCAAATTCTGCAACATGCAAAGAAGTGAAAACGTCAAACACATTGAGACAACAGTCAGTAAAAGTGACAAAGCTCAATTGAAATCAATGGGGCAGAGTCAGTTTGGATCAGTGAGGAAGATGCCCCCCCCCCCATACGTAAATACAGCAAGCTCTGTTGTCCATTTTAGGTTTCCCATTACTAGACAAGGAAGTCAGTGTCACTACAATATTCATACTGACACTAGGAAATACTGCAGAGAGATAGAATAGGGTATCTTATGCTATTTACTTTACTGCACAAAATCAAGAGGCAACAAGTAAAATCTACCCACCTTATTATTGTTCATATTAATTCCAACCAGAAAAATAAGTTCCGCCAGGAAAAGGCTGCAGCAGAGGTTTTTGTGAATTGTCGTTCTAGTGCTTTGAATTTCACTGAAGAACCAGAATGTAAAAATGCACATGGAGAGGCAAATCAACGAAATAATTATTCCTAGCTGAGTGATTCTTGTAAGAATGTTATAATTTGTAACACCCTGGGGGAAAATTATAATATAATATTTAAAAGAATAACTCTGTACCTTCTCAAGAAAGACTTCATTTTATAATACAGTTCTTTTCTTCTTTTGTTCAATATATTAATCAAAACTGTTTGCAGAGTTTCAGTGCAAATGTACACTTTGGATAATCTAAAAAGTATTGTTTTTTGTGAGAGAAATATAATTCTAGGGGAAATTAGAAATGAACTGTATAAATTACTGCTCCTGTATTTTGTGATGTGTTATTTCTTAGCACAACTTTGTGTTAACATTAATATCTCCTAACATGATTTTACAAAAATCAGATCATTTTAGTGAATGACAAATACAGTGGCAGTAGGACATATATTAATCTGACACGAACATTTTCTAATATGAAAGGAGATATCACAGCACTGACTTAGATAAGCTAAATTGAATAACCGTCTTAGCGAATTTGCTGCATGATCAAAACAAGACACTGAAACACCAATCCCTTCAAACAAATGCTAGTTCCAGATAAGTAACATGAACCTTCTCTAAAAAACAGTCTATTTTTAATGAGTGAGTATGYGTATTTTCTGTGCAGGAGCACAGCTACATTTGCTGCTTGGTATTCTCAAAGAGAATCTCTGAAATACGTGACTACACATCAGCATAAGGGCAGGATTCAACTGACCCTAAAATGCATCTAAGCATTTTTTTTTCCTTTAAATAAAGTAGCAGAGATTATCCTGCTCTCCTCCTCCTGTTAAAAAAGAGAAAAAAATAGGAAAAAAAAGCATAAATACCTACAAAAGTCTTAAATCTGAACCAAAGACATAGGATGCTATTTAGCAAGCAGGAAACAGCCTCTACCAGCATGAAATGCACAGTGTGGCAGCACTGTCTCAATATGATATATTCATGCTAATATTTGGCTTGCTGTCAATTCTGATACCTTAAATAGCTGCCTCCTGAGGCAGAATCCCGGCTCCTGCAGGTCCCCACACCGATCCTGGCAAGCTATGGGGCCTCTTAGTGTAGGACAGAGGAACTGAGTGGTTATTTTCACGGTTCTGCRGCGGGCGTGAGGGTCTGTGCTTTAATGCTCATAAACGCTGTTCTGCTTATGTTGCTATATGCTTTTCTGATACTGCTAGTGCAAACCCTCAGGAGAAAATTTAAGGGGATTTTTGGATGCCAAGGTAAGACAAATGGGTGACAAAGTTTTGCGAGAGAGAAATTCAGGGCCATATGGTTGCTGACCACCAGCGAATGCCAATTAAATCCCATGGTAGTCTTAAAGTGGAATTTAAAATTAAAAGCAATGCACCAAAAATAAGTACAACAGACTGTGTATTTGGAACAAGATCYTTTGCTGCATCACTGCTCTGTAATACTGCAGAAAGGACATAAGGATATTCAAACACATATGGGAGGAATTTTTTTGCCCTGTGCACAATAAATTGTATGTTTGCCTCATAAGAAAGACACAACCAATAGGGGAAAGGTATATCAGCTGCACTGAAATAAAAACACAAGTAATGAAGATGGAAGAAAGTAAAACACTAAATTAAAATAGCACTTACAACAGAGCCACCTGAGGACATCAAAACTGCAAAATGAGTCAGATGATTGCATTTGCATGAGATGTGAGTGGTGTTGGAATGTGTCAGCTCGCAGCCTTCTGTAGCCCAGTTGCCACTCATTGTGTCTGCTGAGTAGTTCCAAAATGCACATTTAATATCTTTATCTGCAGTCTGGAACAAAAACAAGATGTTTTACCGATGGCAAAAGGCAGGATATTTCCCATCTAGAGACCTTTCTTACACTAGCCAGAACAATTCATTAAAAATTGCATGTTTCCATTGGAAGGCTGAGAAACAAAGAGCACATTCTGCAAGGCCTATTCCAAGCAATTAAAACATGGCTCAGGATTGAAAACTTTATTCACATAGCTAACATCCAACTGAACATGCAGGCTAATCGGATTACTGAACCCTTCTGGCAGTCACAAAAGTTGGAATTTTTTAGCTACTGAAAACATTGTTTTATATACACCCATGCACCTGCTGAAAATTGACTAAACCTCAAGGTTAYAGCCACATTGCCTACCCTGCTCAAAGTCCCTTCCAACTGAAGGATTCAAAAATTAARACATCCTGTGCATAGTATGAAATAATCTAGGAGAAAGCCAGCGTCATACCACACCTGGTACATCAGGTGCAAAGAGCACAATGATAAGTCCATTAATATTATTTATTACTGACAAACATTACTCAGAGATCAGGTCCCTGCTGTATTAGATATAGCATACATATATCCAAATATAGATAAAGGTGATCTCTATCTCCAATATTACAAGATGTGGCAAATTTAAAAGTGGGATAACCAAGGTTAACACATTCMCCAACATGTCCTCTCCTTCCCACTTCCATAAACAAAATCACCTTGTGGATGTTTCAGATCAGGACTTTGTGCCATGTAACATGTTTCTTCACATGCAAGTGAAGCAAGAAAAATCTATTTTGTACACTGGAAGTAAAGCCTTCAGTACAAATTTCAGAAATAACAAAGCTCTTATAAGTTCTGCTGTTACTTATTTGCTGCAGATATTATGCAACTTGAAACCTTTTTTCATCCTTTTAGGTAAATACTTTTAAGCATCTGATAAAGCATTTGAAAACCCACCTAAATACAAAATAGTCAGGATACTGGAATATTCTCTGATTCAAGTAGCATTTTATTCATACAGCACCTCAGGAAAAGCATAATTGTTGCCCTTGCTTTAGTCTAGTAGCGCTTTTCAGCAGTATCGTGTTCAGTACTTTGCATTTATGGTGCCACATTTGAGGATGTCATTTTTTTCTCTAATTAGATTAAAGTCTCATCAGCTAACAATAGAATTGTCTCAACATATCATACACTGCAGGGATGGTTACATCATACAAAATAATTATCTACTGCTTTCTTTAATTTGAAGTTGATAATAATAATAATAAAAAAACCCTTACCTTGACATACTTTAAGGTAAATGTTATTTTTTCAAGCTCATAGAGCGTAGGTGGATTGGAGCTAATTGCAACAGCTATAACTGATGAGCTTACTGTCTGTCTCTGTTCTGAACCATCTTTCGAGGAGCGGTTTTTAGGCGATGAAAGCAAAGAACCAATATTGCTATACCGCAGAAAGACAACTGCAACGGTGCCTATCAATCAAACAGACCATGTTTAGTAGTTTGTGGGGTTTTTTTTATAGAAGAACAAAATTGAAGGCATTAAGGAAACAATAAACAATAGACATTGTTACTGCTATTGCATAAAATATGCAAAACAGATGGAATCTTTGTGGAATACTTACAAAAATGTTTTAGAGACAATGAAATATAGCTTTATTTAAAACAATGTAACTGCTATTAGAATTAAAAATGTGTGTTCACGTCGGAAATTCTAATTAGATATATGCATACATATTTTTTCTAGAGCAATATAAGCTTGCTGCTGTACTGCAGTAGGCTGCACATGCACATGCCAGGTCTCAAACTAAAATGGTTAAAACCTGAGGTAAATATTTGGCCTCTCTAAAGCACACGGCTGGCTTTGAGCTCCACTACACTAGAGCCAGAATGGAAATCACACAGGAAGAGAGAAAGCAAAGGTAGTGGATGATGTAGGGCTGTTGAAAAACGTGCAATGCTTTTTTTTTTTTTTTTTTTTTTTTTTTTTTTTTTTTTTAACTGGTTAAGGTTTAAGGTTAATTGAGAGTGACACAGAGAGAGGAAGGGGCCAGTCTAGAGGGACGGAGAAGGTCTATGGCTGAGAACAGGATAAAGCCAAGTCTCCTTGGTGCCAGTATCCAGTGTTTGAACTGGATAAAAGTAATTTAGATAAGACCATGATGCCTCCCAAAGTTCTTCCCATATTTTTATCTGGGCACTTCTCATCTTGGAAAACAAGGAATTATACTGCAAACAACAGGTGGTTGCCAGTCTGAGATGGCTCAGTCTTATACGAGGGGGATTTCATGATGAAGATAACTTTTACTCTATCTACCAATATCACAGTTATCCTATTTCCTTGTCCCAAAGGGCAATTGGCAGGAATTTTCCTCAGAGCTGCTATGGATGACTGGTCCAGCAGAGATATGACCCAATATGAACCTCCTGTTCTGATGGTTTTGTTTTGTAGGAGACCCATATGATGATGGGAAGCTGGGAGCTTATTGTTTTACACATCTGGTCATCCCTGTGGGCCTCGTGGTCAGTCTAGAAGATCTATTATATCTGGCTTATCTCTCAGTTTTAGTGACTTAATGTAATAGAGCTACTAGACATATACCCATCAGGAACAGAACTGATATTTTCTGGGACAAGTTTTAGGTCTGCAGATGTAATCTTTGCTATATTAATATCTGTAGGACACATTCAACACATTAAAAAAAAAAAAGAGGTCTGTATTCAGGTAGAAATGCATAAAATCAGAGGCACTGAACCTCTGGCTCACTGCACCACTGGATATAAGAATAGAAATAGTAGTGCTGAGACAATAAAGGGGTAGGTGAAACAGTGATAAAAATGCCTTGACTCTGTAGTTAGCAGGGCTGCAGCTCTCTCTGACTGCAGGCTGCACATTCTATTTTTACTAGTGGGTACAGATCTAGCAGAGGTCTACCCAAGGTGTTTATTAACCCCCCTACACTCTAATCATTTTTTCTTACCATTAGAATAAGATTCCTCTTTCTTCTTTGGAGAGATCTTTATATAATCTCCTCCCGTGTATACATGAGGGTGAATGTGCTTCATGTGGTGTGAATCAAAAGCAAAAAYCTTGAGTGCTGCAAAAGAAGAAAAATACTGTACAAATCACAGCTCCATTACAATCTAACATAATTTACAGTTGGGTTAATAAATGTGCTATTGGATTGCATAATTATTGTAAATTTTAAGAATATATCATTGTGCCAAATATTTCAAGAAAAATGCTATTAATATAGCATGCTTGCTTAAGCCTCTAGATTTTGTTATTTTCATCCATGCATTTTGCTCCGGTACTTTTTACTCTTTCCATGAAAAATACAGTCTTTTATTTACCTTGCATTAAATTAGGCACTGGAAAGAATAATGTAGGTTACTTTGGGAAGAGCTATTGCTTTATTAAAAATGCATTTCTGAAAGAGACCACAAATCACAATTATAAAAAGCAAAGGATAAAATTCTCTACTGAATAGTAGCATTTGATAAAAGTCAATTTTTGAAAAGTGTATATTTTATAGTTATCTATCCATGCTACCAAATGCATATTGCACCATGAAATAATGATGTGTGTTGTCAAAAAGGAAACAAGCAAACATCACCCCTCAGGACAAAAAATACATTAGAAGACATTGAGCTCTTTACTTGGTTCATTACAGTGCTGAGTTTCAGTCACCCACGATGGGAACAAAAAAAGTCAATCAGGCCTGTTTCTAAAAACTAAACAAAACAGCAACAAACAAATCTAAAACTTGACTGATGGAGGAATATCACTAAGCTAGACCATCTGCATTGCTTATAGCACAGCACACAAAAATAATATGAGCTATTCAATAGACCAGCTGTCAGAAAATGTTTCTCAGGACATAAGAAATAGTTTTTGTAGCTGGAGTATTGAAAAGCTTTTGGTTTGAGAACCTGCACCATAAAAAGCAGTGAGAGAGGTAATTACAAAAGCCTCGTGACAAAACAGATGTGACAAAAACACATATTTACCCTGTGGAGAATATGTTCATGGTGTGCAAAAAAAAAAAAAAAGTAGTGTTTGGGGCCATTTTGGAAAAGAACTATTAGAAGTTCAAATTTTTGGAATAAAACTTATCAAAAAAACTCAACTTTTTTAAACAGAGATTCTTCCCCATTCTCATTATTGGATTTCTTTCTTTGGTTTTGAGTCATCTCTCTTCTCACTGAGGTCTCTACCACCATTAGGATTTCTCTTTCTTCTCCACTTTTAAGGCCACATCCACAATAGTCTCCGTCTTCAGAGAGCAATGAGGAAGGAGAGGCTTTTCAATGAGCACTTCCCACCATGCACTCATTCCCACCATGAGCACTCACCACCCATCTGCCGCAAACCCAGTAACACTCTGAACTAAAATACTCTGAACTAAAATAAATCCACTTCTACAGAATTTCTGACATGGAACAATTCCCCATTTTTTCCATCAGCTT